CATCATCATCATCATCATCATAATCATCACCATCACCATCACCACCACCACCATCATCATCATCATCATCATCATCATCATCACCATCACCATCATCATCATCATCACCATCATTATCACCATCATCATCATCATCACCATCATCATCACCACCACCATCATCACCATCATCACCATCATCATCATAATCACCATCATCACCATCATCATCAGCATAATCATCACTTTCATAATCATCACTTTCATAATCATCACTTCCATCATCATCGTCACCATCCCTTCATCATCGCCACTTTCATCATCATCACTTTCATCATCAGCACTTTCATCATCACCGCTTTTACCACCACCAGCACCATCATCATCACCATCATCCGCATCATCCACATCAACATCAGCATCAACATCATTTTCATCTCCACGGTCATCATCAACATCATCACCATGCCGCCATCATCATGCCACGACATTTTGTCGCCATCATCATATCGTTATCATCATGTTCCCATCATCATGTCACCATCGTCATGTCGCCACAATGTCGCCATCGTCATGTTCCTCTCCCCACCTTCACTCAAGTTCCAAGTTCAGCTCCGAAATCCAACGTTTCGGGTTTAGGGTTTCATAGCTTGTTTTACCGGGTTAGTTTTAGGGATTGCTAAAGGGTTGTGATACGGGGTTGTCGTCATATATTATACAGGACGATTATCAGGGCTGCTATTGGGTTATGAAATTTATGAGATGATATATAGAACTATTATAACCTGCTCTTGTACTGGGTCATTCTGAGGGTTGCAATCCGGTTGGGTTAGGGGGTTATGATGACCCTCTCAATTTCTGTGCATTAATTGCCGACAAAGGAGCAGGTGGATCGACGGCAGAAGTGAGGGAGTTGCATGTATTTTCCTGATCTAGCTCGGCGCCTCAACTCGCGCGCGTTTTTCAGAACCTCTGCACGGTGCAGAGAAGGTCGGAAGTGGGCCTGGGCCTTTGACATGCATTGATTTTTGGTAGTCGTCCTATACAAAATATAAGTACAGTCTAGTATCCCCGAGTGGATTCACCTATTCTATAACTGTCATTGAAGGCTCCACGGTAAACAGTTTTCCTGGCCGGGCCGATTGCACGAAGTCGAAGTCGACATCTGCCGTCCCAAAGGGATCCAGCACAATACCCAATCTGCTACAGGGGTCTGAATATATTTCGTGATAGAGTCCCCTTAGGTCCCTATGCCAACGCGACTTGTCCGTCTGTATCTTTGTACCAAACCTCTATTCTACTTATTTCGGCCCCTGTGTTATGTAGATCGCCTGCCACGCACGTAAGAGAGCCCCGAGCCCCCTTGTAGTCCCTACATAACTGTCAACTTAGCCTTTTTCCTAATAGTCACTCTGGCCCCTACATTACATGGGCCGACCTTGCCGCACGTAATTGATCGAGCCCCCTTACAGTCTCCATTTTACTTGCTATTACAATATACCCCCACACCTTCATTCTTATGATTCTGGCCCCTGCATTACGTAGATCGTTCGCGCCGCATGAGCAGACTTTTCGTCTGAACGTGGCCCAGTCATGAAAAGTGAGAACCAAGCTGAGGATTTGCTGGTCCAGTCACGGTTTGTGCGTTTAGGGTCTAGGGCCTAGAGGCCTAGAGTTTAGGAGCATACTTCTGCCGGACAAGCCGTCTGCATCAGTTAAGATCTACCTATGCAGGCTATCTTGATGTTGCGACATGCTCAGGAAGGATAAGTTTTAGCGTGACGACGATGTGTTTCCTCCTCTGGTTGGGCACCAGGTGGCATCAGTGGGTACGACTCCGCTTGGATTGCAGAGTCCTCAGGTTTCTTGATTTCCAGCACTCCACAATCGAACGTGGGCAATCGGAGTGACGTTCCAGCCAGTTGCTTGTGGTGGGTGTGGCAGGAGTCTTGAGTCTAGGGAAACTTCCGACAGTGAGCCTGTTCTTCCGTTATTTGGAAATTTGTGGACGCATCCCACATGTCATGTTAATGCCATCGCACTGCCAGCTGACTCCTCCACGCATGCTGCTTTCTCGAACTAGCGCTCACCGATTTTGCCCCGTGCGCTGCTTGTGCGAAGTGCTCGCGGAACGGAGGTTGTAGCACGTTCAGGCATCGCCAAAGCAAGCAGACTCAGGTTGCAGTGGTAGGACCGGTTAGCCGCTTTCAGGACAACGAGTTTTTTGTATCAGACCTGCTTAGCACTACGATTTGAAACCCCGGAATCTCCGAAACTTGACGAGACTTCGACCGGAAGCGCAACGGGGTGGCCGAGCGTGGCGCCCTCGGCCGTCGTCGCCCGGCGCTCGGCTGTGGAGGGGCCGGAGAACGCAGCAGCTCCAAACTCGGATTGCTACTTGGGAGTTTCAGAAAATTAGGGTACCTTATTTTGGGGTCCTTATAATAGGGATCCTATCATTTAGGGTGCTATATTAGGGTCCCCTATTTTCGGAAACCCCCACTTACTCCTGGCCGCCGGCTTGAAGAGTAGCCTGCTTTGGTACGACGATATCCACGGAGGGGCTGTGGTTGAGAACAGCTTCAAAAGAAAGCGAGTTGTATTTGGTCAATAGTGCGCCAGCGGGAGTTTAGGGGTCTGTAAAGTAGCACATCCAAGCGTACTTGTCTCAAAGTTGGGTCGAAATGTTGCTCATTTTTTGGTCGACCAGGTGCGCCAAGACACCACGAGCAACAGGGCCACAAACTACTGAAAGCTATTACCCCCATGCGCAACATCAAGTAAATGGCTATCTGGTTCTACAGGTCTCGTGGCCAGCGGAGACCCTTAATTTTGCCCTTCCACTTCGCATTCCTCTGCTGTTTGCCTCTCGGATGAGCTAGGGAGGCCTCTCCACGGCTTCCCCGAAGTGAAAGAGCCCCAAACCGAAAGCCGACTGGGCTCAACCTCTTCACCTGGAGTTCACGGCAAAACATGCCACCGAAACCCTAAACCCTAAACCCGACCCTATCGTCGTGTACCAGGAACCTCGCCCAGGCATGTCCGAGAGTGAGTGCTGAAACCCGACCCTAAAGTGGCTACAAGAGTCGTTTCTACTCACAGTCAGAGACAGAAGTTCCTTGGATCCGCCGCCACTGCCATGGCTTCAGAGGCAGGTCCGGACCAGGACAAGCAGACCGTGAACGTCCATTGCCTGGCAGGGTCCAGCTTTGCACTGGAGGTCAACTCTGCCCAGACGGGGTGGGATGTGGCGGAATGCATCGCAAGCAGAAGTGGTCACCTTGCAGATTCACTTGTGCTGACATCCGGTGGTTGTATCATCGATCAGTGCCAGCCCCTGATGCATCAAGCCCAGCACGGAGAGATCACGTACGTCGTGCGGAAGCTGGGTGCGGGTCGAGCCGCGCAGAGTTGGCAGTGCGTTCTCGAGGAGAAGACTTTGTCTGCCACAGATGTAGCTGCCCTGAAGGAAACAGTGTCACTCACGTGGAACGTCAGCCTGAGCTTGGAGGGCATGCAACTGCCCAGCAGCTTGCGGAGTTTGACGTTTGGTGGCAGGTTCAACCAAAGATTGCAGGGCATCCAGCCTGCAGAGTCTGACGTTTGGTCTTATGTTCAACCAGAGCCTGGAGGGCATCCAGCTACCGAGCAGCCTGCAGAGTTTGACGTTTGGTGTTATGTTCAACCAGAGCCTGAAGGGCGTCCAGCTACCCAGCAGCCTGCAGAGTCTGACGTTTGGCCTTAATTTCAACCAGAGCCTGGAGGGCATCCAGCTACCAAGCAGCCTGCAGAGTTTGACGTTTGGCCAACAGTTCAACCGGAGCTTAGAGGGCGTCCAGCTACCAAGCAGCCTGCAGAGTTTGACGTTTGGTGTTATGTTCAACCAGAGCCTGGAGGGCATCCAGCTACCTAGCAGCCTGCAGAGT